TGTAAATGATAAATTTTATAGAAGGACAAACGTCTACAAATAGAAGGATAATGGAAAAAGAAAAATTAAGAAAGAAACTTGTATGTCAGGTCATCAGATACATGATGACACCACTGTCAAAAAGAAAAGTGGTGTGCACTGCAAGAACAAATAGACCGAAGTAACAAGACAGATACAAACTATAAAGCAAAAATTTATGAATTTGGTTAAAACAAGACTAAAGATCTCTAGTCAGTGTACAAGATGTAGATAAAGTTGAGAGTTGATAATCCCCGAATACTGACTATATATATAGTAAATTGAAAGACAATATTTGCAAATCATAAAGCTAACAAGAGACCAATATCTAGAGTATACACAGAAATCTTGAAAAACAACTTAAAAAAAAATAGGAGCCACAGAAGAAAATGGACAAAAGCTGTAACCAAGTAATTTATAAGGAGATCAAAGGACTAAGAACTTATGAAGTGATAGTCTCACTAATTTGTATTTAGAGAAATGTAAGTTAAACTAAAATGAAATCAGTTCTTCCCAACTTGATCTATAGATTCAAAACAGTCCCAGTCAATATCCAAGCAAATTACTTTGTGGATTGACAAACTGACTGTAAAGTTTATATGGAGAGGTAAAAGACCCAGAAGGGCCTATACAACTGAAGCACAAAATTGGAAGCTGGCACTATCCAACTTCAAGACTTACTATATGTCTATAGTGATCAGGACAATGTAGTTAGAGAAAAAATAGATAAATAGGCCAAGGAAGCAGAATGGAGAGCCCAGAATAAACCACATAAATATATCCAACTGATCTTTGACAAAGGACCAAAAGCATACACTGGAGAAAAGATAATATTTTCTACACATATTGCCACAACAAGATCACACATACACAAAGAATCTAAACATAGACCTTACATCCTTCACAAAATCTAACTTAGAAGAGATCACAGTCCTAAATGTGGACTGCAAAGCTGTAAAACACTTGAAAGATAACACTGAGGAAAATCCAAATGGCCTTGGATTTGGTGAATGGCTTTTTAGATAAACACCAAAGACACAATCTATGGGGGCCCTGGATTTAGCTCAGTGGTTTTGGAGCCTGCCTCGCAAGCACAAGGTCCCAAGTTTGATCCCTGGTACCAAAAAGAAAAGACACAATCGATGAAATAAATAGCTAATAAACTAGCAACTGAGGTCGAGTCACGCAGAACATGCCGAATCAGCCCACTGCAGACACGCAGGTCTGCCCACGTCCTACCGAGGTCGCCAGTCTCTCGGAACACTCCTAATCAGCACATGCCCTGGCAACAATCCACTGGACACCTCCCCACCCCCCACCCCCACCCCCGCTCCTCTGTACAGCCACCTGGTTCCACACTACAAAGACACAGACGACACCATATCACCAGACCACAGTACTGAGTCCTGCCCCTCCCGGCCCAGAGGTAGGGGCTTCTGAGCCGCCGTCCCACTGCTCCTGGTCCAGAGGAAGGGGCTTCCTGGTCACGATAACTCCCGCTGCTCCCAGCCCAGAGGAAAGGGCTTTTGGGCCACCTTCTGTCCCGCCGCTCATGGCCCAGAGGAAGGGGCTTCCCGGCCACCATCCCTCCTGCTGCTCCCAGACCACAGAAAAGGGCTTTTGGGCCACCATCCCTATCGCTACCCCCAGCCCCTGTCCCACCTCTCCCAGCTCAGAGGATATAATCTGTACAGGCGACAACAGCACCACCCCCCACTCAAAATGAGAAAACACGTCAATAAGTCTCAAAACCAGACTTCCAGATCACCTACAGCAACTTCAAAGGGAAATGAGATGGAACACTCTGATACTCAACCACCTGGACCCACTGAACTGGCAACAAAAGGGGATC